CTTGCCTTGCCTTGCCTTGCCTTGCCTTGCCTTGCCTTGCCTTGCCTGCCTGCGTGCGTGCGTGCCTGCGTGCCTGCGTGCCTGCGTGCCTGCGTGCCTGCGTGCCTGCGTGCCTGCGTGCCTGCGTGCGTGCGTGCGTGCTTGCGTGGTTGTGTGCTTGCGTGCGTGCGTGCGTGCGTGCGTGCTTGCTTGCTGGCTGGCTGGCTGGCTGGCTGGCTGCATGTTTGCTCCTGCTGGTGTGCTGCTGCTATTGCTGTTGCTGTCGTTGTGGTGGTGGTAGCTGCTGCTGCTGCTGGTGTAAATGCCTACTGCGGCTGCTTCCGCAAAGGAATTTGAATAGTTTCGTATAAAACCAAAACAGTCTTCAAACACTAAAACACCTGATGTGACCCTGATGTGACCCCTAACAGTTGAGATCCGTCCAAAAGTCTTGGAACCAAAAGCTTTACATCGGTAGGTCATACATTGAGCATACATTGAAAACGGGTGAGGAAAACCCAAGACCGATGCCTTTGTATCATACATAAGTACATACGTACGTACATACTACTACTCTACTACTACTGCTGCTCCTGCTACTGCTCCTCCTGCTCCTACTCCTGCTGCTACTCCTCCTCCTCCTCCTACTACTACTACCTACTATTACCTACTACTACCTACTAGCTACTACTTACTGCTTACTACTTACTACTTACTACCTACTACCTACTACCTATACTATAAACTACCTACGACCTACTACCTGCTACCTGCTTCCTGCTACCTGCTACCTCCTACCTACTACCTACTACCTACTACCTACTACTTCTACTTCTACTACTACTACTACCACTACCACTACCACTACCACTACCACTACCACTACCACTACTACTACTACTACTACTTCTACTTCTACTTCTACTTCTACTACTTCTACTACTACTACGACTACTTCTACTACTACTTCTACTACTACTACTACTACTACTAAATTTTGTGTTTTTCACCAGCGTGTTCAGACCGATGCCTAACCGATGCCCTAACCGATGCCACGGAGTGACTTCCAGACACCCGATCAAGGGACATGCCCACTCTAGAGCAGATTTTAGGGTTCAAACGACATGCCCAAGAGAAAGGAACTAGCAGCTGCATATGTGAGGTCCTTGAACTTGTGAAAAGTTGTATGCTTTGCTGTCCGTTGCTTCGCCATGTCCATGACTATACTTTTTCTTGGAAACATACAGTATGTTAGTGAAATTCACCAAACATTGGAAACCGATGAGGAAAACCCAATCCCGATGCCCTGTCCTAATGACCGCTCCCAGATGTAGGGAATTTTGGACCGACCTCAGTTTTCCAGTCACCTGATGTGACTAATATTGGTGACAGTAATTAATACATTATTAGTTGGGCCATGTGTTCTTTCATGGTATTGTGGAGGCCAGGCCTTGTAGCGAGGCAAACCTTAATCATTGCATTCCATCCAACGATTCGAATGACGAACGTGACACATCTTCAATTATCGTCGTGGTCTTCCGTGCAGTGTGAGGAATCGAATGGCCAGTCCGTACAACGGTTCACGTGGTCGTTCGTGCAGCGGAATACCCAGGTGAGGACTCTGATTCTGATTGCTTCTGCCGAGAAAAGCTCTTGCAGCACCGTTCTTCGGGCTCCGGCATGAACAGCCTGGGATTTCGTACAGATAAAGTTGGCACTGCAGATGAGACTCCAGGAGCAGTCTGAGAAGTGATAGATGACATATGTCTATGTATGAGTCATCTAGGTAAGTTTCAAGGAATTACACAGATGATGGGCGCCCTGCGTTCTCTTGCAGCCAAGGTAAGGCGTGATTATAGGGATCATTCTGCAGAAGAATTGCAGGTTTGATCTACAGATTTGAACACCCATGAATCATCCTACTGCTTCTCAAGGATGGGATCCAGAGTTAGACTACAGATGCTACAGGGTCATTCAAAGTTGCTTGCAGATCTGACGCTGATGCTGTGGTTGTGCACATCTTCGTAGGAGAGGTCAGCACTGCACGCTTGTGTCACCAGCTTGAGCATGTCAAGTCTGGTCGCAAACGCGTCAGTGAAATTCGGTGCTTTCGTTGCACTCAATTCAGATTGGAGTGGCTGGTCGTGTGACGAGTCTATCGCTGATCACTGATCATCGATGATATTGATACATACTGATGCTGCATCCTCCTGGTTTCCGCAGCTGATCTCCTCTGGTGTTTCTGTAGCTGAACACGTGGTGTTGAGCCATGTGCAATTGTGGGGACTGCACCACCTACGGGGAGGTGAAACTGGATTGGTGTGCTGAGTCCCTGCTGTATTTGGCAGTAGTCAGGGCTGCAATTACTTGCAGTCAAGTCGCACAGTTCAAGGCAAGGGAATTTCATAGTTGTACGCAAGGTGGCAATTGTTTTGTGCTTGTTTATGTTTTTTTTCTTTCCCAGAGGCCCGAGGCTTCACAGAAACCCTTTTTTAAACTATTAGAGCTCCTGCTAGGTGTAGTGCCTGAGGTGCGACGGGGAATCTAAAGCAGCCCTGTTAGGAGACCAACCAGCTTGTTGCTGTAGGCCTTGTTCTGCACCGGGATGGAGTCTGTGGCTGTTGGACCCACTCAGCGAGGAAACGCGGTTGACCAGTCGGTTGACTCATACAATGGTTACAAACGCTCCATCCATCCAACGCTCCATCCCGTGCAATGAGCTGTTTCATGTTCAATGCAAGCTGCAAGAAAATGTGGTAGGAAAAAAGGAACAAAGAGAGCTTTTGCTCGCTGCAGCAGCTTGGAGATTCTCGGCTTGCTTGAGCTTGAGCTTGCCAAAATGATAACCCAAGAAGATCCACCCACGTGACATTAAGGATGCACACTCAGATAAGCTAACTTTAGACTTGGCCTAGGCCTAGGCCTATTTCGAACAGATCTATGATGTTTTGGACGTGCTATACACTGTACACTGATAGTTTCGGTACGTTGCGCATCATCCAAGAGGGCAACCCATGTTTGCTGGAAGCGTTGTTTAAAGACAACGTGCACCCTATATAGCTTGTTCCTGATGGATTCCAGTTGCTGCTCATCCAGTTGATTTACTCACCAATGCATTTGCTTGGCCCGAACAATAAGGAACATTTTTGTTTGCATACTGCTGAATACTGTTCATTGTGAGGTTCGGACCAGGGTTCAACATCCTTCCCATTTCTTTTGCCGAGCTCCATGCTGACAGGGGTCCCTCTCCAATGACTTCCATGCCTTGCTGTCCAAGACCATTTCGGAGACCGCAAACAAGACAAACATTTTCCGTAGTGTGAACTCTTCATGTGTTCCTGACGGCATTGTCGTTAGAAGAGATGTCAAGAGTCAAGACGGTGAAGCTGAGAAAGAAGAAAGAACCGCTCATTTAGATTCGTCTCGTCATCCTCATTGGATGCAATTTTGTATATTGAGCACGTATCATATGGGGCAAGCTGAGGCGAGGAACGCGAATCATCCTGAATTCATCCTGGATCGATGGAACCAAGCCACGAAACAGACAGGCAAACAAAGAACGGATCGCATTAACAATAATATATACACTAGTATATGTTAATATCATATATATATATACATATAATAAGGTGCTAGAGCTTCTGTCAGAATTGAGTAAAGACATCGTGGCTTGCCCTAAAACGTGTGTGGCTTGCCGAGTTTTGCCGAAGCCATGGTTTAGACACATCAGCATGCATCGTTGGTATGGTACCTGCGCCTCCAAAATGTCCTCCAAAAGATACACACTCGGTATGCAGATGTATGCAGTATACCCTTCCCTCAAATATGGAAATGGACAACTAGAGTATGGTCTTCCTGGAGGCCATTGTCTACTTCCATGTTTGTTGGAGAAAAGCTTACACAAGCTGGTACACGGATACACAGATTATTGACATTCATGACTCCATGACATATTCATGATCGGATCACGACTGCATTGGCCCAAAGTAGAGAGATCGCGAGGTATTTGTACTATACAGTAAGGGGACCACAGACCACGCAACCTTGTTGCACTTGCGGGAAGACATGGATTTGGGACAGAATCTATTGAACATTGAACGACATTGAAAGACCACGTAGTTGTGTGGTGTTGATGCCACAGGCTTTGGCAGGATTTGGAGCTATTCCATGCCATGCCTGGAGCGTTCGTTCCATGCCAGGAGTTGAAGACCTTCAAACATGCGGCCGGGCGATGCATTGAGGAGTACTTCGTGACCAGCAACGCTGAAGAGGCCATCGGAGTACTCGAGTACTGATTAGAGGGGTAGGCCGCGAAGAGGTAGGGAGCTAGGTAGGTAGCTAGTAGAAGAGGTAGCTACTAGTAGTAGCTTATATAAGTAGCTAATTTCTACTGACAGGACGCAGGATAGCTCACGCTTCTTCATGTTTTCTCTCACAGACTCTCGTGATGTCGCTCTGCACAGGTGGGCACGGTTTTACAGGAGCTGGGCATGACAACGTACCATCATGAGTTTGTAAAGAAGGCGCGGATGGGGATAGGAGTTCCGCTGTGGGGGGAAATTAACTTGTTGGTAGCCTACAAAGATGCAAGATCGAATTTTAAGTGGGCATCCAAAAGCCAGCTTATACCTTGAGCCTCCTGAGTCCGCTTTTTGTTTTTGGCAGCACTAACCAGAGGTTTTCGCGCTGGCCAGCGTCGCGTGGGGACGGATGGGATGCGCGTCGCTGGCCGTCCGAGGCCGTCACCATGTCCTTCTCACAGTCCAATGAGTCGGCCGGCCGTGAGGTGGGGGCGACGTCCTGGACGGAGCGTTTGTTCGGAGTGTCCGGTGGTTCCGGATTTCGATAGTGAGTGTCAGGTGGTTCCAAACGGTTTTTCGGGATTTTGAAGCCTCTTTTCTGTTATGTTGTTTTTTGTTTGATTCGAAGTTTGATCGAATCAGCATGGTGATGTTCATCAAAGGATATCAAAGGTGTAGCAGTGTTTGGAGATGTTTGGAGTGACATGCAGCAGAGCAGCTAGAATGTTGCTTGGAAGTCCAAGGCAGTGTTGCAGCTGCTGGCAACTCTTTGTAGCGAGGGCATCCTCACAAAGGACCGCTGCGCACTCTGACATGTCACATGTCTCACGTCTAGTATTGTGGAGAGTCGCTGTTGGCGTCCATTGAGATTTTCTGGTAAGGAGAGCTTTGCCAAAGTGTCCAATGATTTCTAATTATTTGCTGTCAGGATGATATCCAGTCTGAGACTCAGCCAGGGATGGGTAAATTTGGGGTCGAATGACATCGAAAGAATTCAATTTTTGTGCATGGTTCTGGCGTCAGTTCCTCCCAACAAAAATATGAAACGGCCTGTGGGAACGAGCAACGAGCAACGCTCCAGCGTGCGCAACGCGCTCCACGGCAATGCTCCAGCGGCATTGCCCGACCGACCGGAGCTGCACATCTTCAGCACATTTGAGACCGAGGGAAGCACATTCTGTAGATGGTTGATTCATAAACCCTTAACTTTTCAGGACTGCAGAGGTTTTACGTTGTAAAACACAACTCCATATGGTGGGGTTTTAGGAAAATCAAGCGTCTACATTACTTGATGTCTTGATCATACTCGCAAGATGTGGCCACCGCTCTATTTTGGACTGGGTCAGCTTTGAACAACGCCAGCTTCTGCTTGATTCTTGAAATCTCAGGTGGGGAACAACCCGGCTTCTGGGTCACTTGGCAGCATTTTCTCAGTTTCGGTTACGACTGATCCACTTGATAACAAGACACTGTTGGGACGTGACACGTCAGACCTTTCAGAAGGTTCATTCGGTCCCAAGCAGCATCCGGTCGAGCGGCGACATCACCTATTACATGTCCCTTTGTCAGCTCGATGTCCCTCAGTGTCAGCTGAGCTGCCAGGCCAAGTCACAGATCTTAGCCTGGACATTCCTCGCTGCTCCGAGATGCTGATAGAAGTCATCGTTCGGCCGGGGGGGCGACCGTTCGGGTGATGTGGATGACCTGTGTGATGTGCATGGAATCTTCGTTCTTGGGCCTAAGGGGAGTGCTCGTGTGGTTGTGTGTGTTCTTGTTCTTTTTTTGCCAAACTTTGATTTGTTAAAATATATAGTATATAATTATAATATATATATATACATTATATACATATTGGATAACGCATAAACTATATACAGTAGAATGGTAAGGCATAGGAAGACCAGATGTAGGACACTGACTTCTTATATAGGGTATTCTCGGTTTTGACATGAAGATGGTATTTAGGCTCCAGCTAAAACCTTCCTGAAATGGCGACGGAACAGAAGTCTATAATCTACGAGGTAGACTGAATGTGGACAATTTGTAGATCTATTTGTCAAAATACTGCCAGCTTGTCAAGATTAGATGTATATATATATATATTAGAATTAGACGGAGGTTTTCCGCACCATTTCTGAGAATGTACAAGTGTGGATCCCGGTCACCAACAGTTTCTGAAACATTCTGAAACCAATGCCATGGTTCTGAAACTATGTTTCAGAAACTGTGGATGTTTCGGAAACTACATATGTTTCCGAACCGTGATTCCAAAACTACATGGTTGCCTATGTTTGGGACACTGTTTGGAATGTTTCGGAACTTCGAAACCACCTGACTCCCCTCAAAGCTAGCAAGTGCCTACACGAAGTTACATACTACCTATTGCAAGGATGTTGACAGACATGTCCTAATAGCGTCCTTGCTCCTAGTAGCGATGCCAGGAGCCCCTAGTAGCGTCCTTGCTCCTAGTAGTAGTTTCAGAGGCGTGGTGTTTGAAGCACATAGATTCTGAAGCGTAGTTTCTGGAGCGTCGTGGCTTAGGGCCGTGGCTTCTGAAGCGCGCTTAGTTTCTGAGCGCGGTTTCTGAAATGGAGTTGAATGGTGAATCACACTGGAATACTGGACCAACTCGGGTCATGAATCCGCAAATGGAGTTTACCAGCTGCTCAGCTACTTAAGGCTTTTGGGCTTTGGGTGCATTGGCATTCGCTTGAGAGCACATCCTACGCAGGCTTCTCACAGATGAGCTTGTAAGTGCTCCATTTCTTCGTCGTTGCCGCCAGACACTGAGATGCCAGTCTCGCATTGGGCCTTCGTTGAGTGTCTAAACGTATTTGCTCGTTGGAGTCTCGCAACATTGGGCCAGATCAGCACAGTGCTTGGTCTGGGCATCCCAGTGCTTGGTCACTCCCTGTCAACCTTCTCGGACCTCTTGGATCATGCTTGCTTTTATCATTTTTTATCCGATCCTCGGCGTTGTGTTAGTTTTCATGATTCACTCAGAGATCGAGTTCGCGCATGGAGGTCATCTTTTTTTTGACACCAACAGCTTTAACTCGCAATTGGAGAACTTAACTGACTTACTTCTGAAACCAACCTGTGAGTCCATTTCGGAATTCAAAACGGCCCATGCGACCCCTGTTCAACGGATGCTTTTCCAACCGGCAGAGCTCCGGCTTCCAACCGGCAGAATCAAGGCCTTCTGCGGATCGGAGACGGGGCTGGATTGAAGGTGCTGGAGGCAAGAGACATTGGCTGAAACGATTCTTTACACGTTTTGTTTTCTTCTCCAGGGCGGAGGCATGTTCATCCTCCAATTAGGTAGGGGCCATTAGGCCAGTGTTCGACTACATGAGTCCACACCACATGGCTCAACTGTCTTGAACTGATGTCTCAGGCGGTACAGCGCAGGACGCCAGAGTGCGCCAAGAGCAGCATGTGCAAGACCTGGTAATGGAGCTAGTTGGGACAAGATTCATTCCACCCGGGCAATGGTCAGTAGAAAGACTATCATCCTTTCAGGGTCAGCTTCAAAGGGATCTCTTGAGCGTCACGCTTGATCTTCAGGTACAGCAAAAAGCAGTTGAGCACTGCTGCTTTTAAGCCCAGCGCTTGGTCTGGTCCAAGATTACCAACCAGATGTGAGCTCGCCTCACAGAAAAAAAAGAAAAATGTAACATTTAAACTGTGTATACTGTCTAATTAGAATAGACATATTGAGAGAGAGAGAGAGGGGCCAGGAAGGTCAAAGTCGGCTGCCTCGAGGAAGGAGATCCAAAACATGATTCTGGAATACTTCAATTCTGGCGACCAGGCGGAGGTGCCCGGCATGGACACTTCAGCGGGCGCTCGTGCGACAGCAGTCTTAGAGTGTTTGACACAAGGCCTTTTTGTCTGACACACACACATTGTCATATTATGAAAGTCTCCCCAAATTCCTGTAGCGCACCTTTTGAATTTTCTCGGAAAGCATGCTGGTGGCGTTGAATTGTTGAGCGAGTTGAGCGATGAACAAGGTCTCCCGCGTAAAACGTTGAACAATAAACACCACTGCACCACCTAGTGGGTCAAGACAAAGGTTTTTAGCCTCTCCCCGGACTTTCCCAGTGGTTGCTGCGGGCGTCATGCGACTGCATAGGCTTCTTTTCTTCAGGGGCGCGACGTGCGTTTCCTCTTTGGTCACGGTCACGTCGTGTGAACTCCACTTCTCAAACTGCGCCATCCACCTGCCACCTGTTGTGGTCAGCGGTGAACACATGCCACTTTGCACGAGCAAAAACACCACAGCTCTACGGATTCACCGGTGAAAGCACAGCAAAGCACCGCCACCAGGCCATGCCATGCCACCAGGGGGTAAGACCGGTAAGGGCGTTGATCATGCACCACGTGACCAGCCGTACACAGTGCTACTCTCCGTTAGAGGCCAAAACACATCATTTCTCCAGGGGCCATCGCTTTACCAACAGCAAGAAGTTCAAGAAGCTCCTTTTTATATGCCCACGAAAGTGGGGCCAACTCACCAGCAGGAAGACAGCAGCGCTAAGAACCTACTTACATCTATTTACCAGTAGAAGATCCAACCTTAAATAGCACAGAGATGCAAGACACAACCTGACCAGTCGCATACCTAACAGTTAGAACAGAAGCTGGACAAACGAACAAAATGTGATTTTCATCAACAAGCTCAGGGTCAAGTCACCTTGTAGGCAACATGTGAAAATCAGAAGACTTCCTGTCAAGATTTGTCGAGCCAATCACTGAATCACTCTCCCATGATGGGCTCACGGGTTTGTATAATGAAATGCTCCCACCATAAGCTGACGAAATTACGAAGTGAAAACGACACCAAGTCACCAAGACAGGTTGGTCAGTCTCAAAGGAGGAATCCACAGATCGGAGAACATTCTTGACAAACTGCTGCCAGTTCGGCCGCTGCATTCGGGAGCTGACCCCCCTGGTGTGGTGGCCTGGGAAGACTGGGCAGAGCTGGAGAATGCTTTTTGGTACGCAAAACATCACATTGCTGTGGATTTGTTTTGCATCTTTACACTGTCCTATTCCTTTTTTTGACGAAGAGAGCAACAACCTAAGCTCCTGAAAGTACTGGTGGGCAGAGTGAAATTTCTTGGGCGCTGCTTTTGATTCTGTTGACCCGGAGACGTTACCAACTCGAAGACCAATCTCCAGAGACGCTTATTGTGCCCAGTCCCCAGCGCAGAGCGCAGAGCTGGTTCGCAAGGCAGGACTTCACTTCGGAAGAATGCGAAGTCTTGACATTGATAACTGTTGTTTCTTCTCAGCGATTCTGTCATTTTTTGTTGTTTGTCAGGCTGGTCATGTGAATTTGAGCTAGTTATATAGTGATAGCCAGCAAAAGGTGATTGGGTCAAGAGTGCTACGTGGAGCGATCGAGCGATCGATGAGAATGGTGAGACCGGTGCCGAGAAATCGCTAGGTTTTCCCATGCCCTTCGATCGGAAACTTCCGAGCATTCAGTTGTTTTGCCAAGATGAAGCCTCGATTGAACAAGACCCACCACCCATCGTTCTGACATTGCGAGATCATGGTCTTCGCGATGGAGCGCACCGGTGTTGAGCCTCCTTCCCAGTGCATTAAATAGCTTGAGAGTTGTTTAGAACTCCAGTCTATGCAATGTTTGGCTGGCTTCGTTCTAGCCACAGGTTTCCAATAACTGCACAAAACAATAGTTCGAAGCTTCATTTATATATTCGACTCTTTGCTACATCATTGCCACCTATGCAAAGTTTCGTTTTCTAGCACTGCTCTCAATCCATTTGAATCCCGCAAAATGTTTGCATAAAGGATGGCCTGAAGGAAACCAGTCGGCTGTGATGTGAAGATATGTGAAGCACGTCGTGGCCTGGTGAGGTGTGAGCTTTCGCTGAAGCTCCTCGTTTGGATCATCAGAAATGAGGCTCCGATAGACACTGACAATGAATAGGTCACGATAATAAAGTCATATAAAATCCATTAAACAACATTGAAAACACGATAAACAATAATAGACAGTGACAGCCTTGCATGCAGTTCAATGTTCCAACTTTCCGTGCTGCTTTCGGATGTTTTCTTGGTGGCATTCAACTGTCCAGAAGTCTGCTGCTGATCGAAGGAATTTGCACTGATCTTTAATTTCAAACAGTTTGATACGTTTTGTTTCACATGTTTTCTTGTATTTATAGGTATAATACTTATATTATATATTCATAATCTAGAGCTGCTGTCAAAGTATTTAGGTGGCTGGATTCACTAAACGACATCTAATAGATCATTTCAACGACCCCTCAATTAAATTACCACAATTGGCCGCCCTTTGTAGTGGCTTGTCAGCTTGTCTTTGTTCTGGCTCATATTGTGGGCGTAGCATGGTCAAACCGTTAAGCTGTCCATGTCAACCGATATTGCCCTCGGCTCATGTTTGCAGGAGCTGACTCCCAAAGACATCGAGAACGGATTCGACGCTGGGCTGGATTTAGACGCCGGTCGGGAACAGGTGGTGCACAAGTGGCTTGGCCATGCTGCACTTCAATACATTGCAAACATACATGTGTTGCCTCTTCAAGAGCTACCAGGGAATTCAAACAACTGCCTTGAAAACTTCAACATGGAGGCAGCACAGATGACTGAAACGAAGGGGGAAACAATGGCTTCTCAAAAGGGGTTCCTTTTGTTGACCTGTGGTCAGCAGCTCTTGCACACCACTTGTGAACGTTGTTTTGCCTCAAGAGTTCTTTTTTGGGATCTCAAAGCCTGTTGTTGCCATGGCCAGAGCTCGTGCTCCCAGATTTGAGCGCCTGCAAGGCATCAATGACGATGGGGTTTGCCGGGCTATTTCTTTGATGTATTTGGAGTATGTTCTTGGTTGCAATCCTCACCATGGCGACCGGGATGAGTTTGGCAGAGCCCCTGATCCCATGCCTGAGCATGGTTGGATTCCGGAGGCGGTGTTCCGCCCGTCCGAACGGTTGGCGAATGAGCTGTATGATGAATCTGATTTTGCAAAAACGCTTTCCGAACGACGTGAACCGGCACCCTTTTTGTTGGACAGCATGCCTAGCCTGGTGTTGTTTGAGAAGGTCAGTGACCTCGTCAATGATTATGATGAAGCAATGCAGAAAGTACTGCCTTTCTTGGAACAAGGCTTAGGCTTTGTATTCTCTTTCTATTATTACAGGCTTGACGAGGATGGCGAGCCGAAAGGGGCTCATGCCATTGCTATCGACGTGACAGGGCACCCAGCAGGTTCCCACGTGATGGATCCGAACAGAGGGGTATGGCAGTTTAGATCCATTGAAGATCTCATTGTTTGGATGAAAGATGGCGAGCTGGTGAGCGATAGACATGGCCGACGAGTGAAGAAGTTGTACAAGGTTCGACTAGTTCAAGTGACCCGGCATGAGTGAGGCCCAGTCGCTCTGCCAAGCATCGCCTTAGCTGTGTGAGCCGTCCTTGTCCCCAACGAGCATAGACTTGGAGGACAGAACTCATCGATGACTCGTCATGTAGCGGACTGCCAGCCCACGAGTCTTGCGAATGTCTCAAGGTGATCAATGTGATCGTCACAAGGGGGCAGCGCGTAGAAAAGGAGCTCCACTAATCACAAATGGTGCAGCATTTGGCCCGGCAAGTTTGTTCTTTGAGTGGGACTTTCTTTGTGCAGATGAATAACTGAACAAGTTTCTGTTGTTGCTGAGGATGACATGTACAGGCACATGCCTGACATTCTGTGCGCGGCCAAGACGTGCGTACCAGCAAGATGGTAGACAAGTCGACACAGAAGTGATCCATCCTAGCAATTTCATGCAATTTCATACGATGCAGCAAGGAACTTGTTTACAAGAATACAAGTAGAGGAATATAAAGGACATGTCCAAGCGCATGTCCCATATGCCATAGTTACATCGCCATACACATTGACTCATTTCAAAGAGATGAGCTTGGCTGAGGCTCGATGTCCCAGATGCTGAGGAGATGGCGCGCACCTTTGTGGTTGAGGCGCGGAGGGAGCAATGTCGAAACAGCTGAGGAAAATATTATATTCTTTGCGTTCTTTGGAAGAAATGATTTGATTGGAGGACTTTTCTTTTTGAATTCTTCACTATCATCCATTGGCATAGACATAGACGTACATAAATCAAGAACTGATTCCAGTAGTTTATATTATCATTTAGACTTTTTCTGATATCTTGCTAACACATCTAACACTATGTTTGCCTTTTTCAGGACTCACAGATATCAATCAAAATCCACCATTGCTGTGATTCACTGTTGCAGGATGGAAGTCAGCCCAAGCTGTAGACTTGACATGAAGTATATAGAATATAGCTAGAGCAGCAGACACGTGCTTGACATGAATGTTGTCCTTTTCCATGGATGGAAAACCAACCGTGAACGATGAACTTGCCACTGACCAGTCCAAACACCAGCAGCTGACCGTGGGCCGGTTGGGGATGGGAGGAGTTCTAGGGATGCTTGTGGTGGACCAGCAACAGTATTTCGTAGGTCAAGAGCAAGATTTTGAATAGAATCACAATCGGTGAACCAGGCAAGTTGCTCCCAGAGAGAACATTGCAATCCGCACAGGTTTGTTTGGCACACATTTTATGCTCTGAAAGCTGTACGCTTATACGCTTAAACAGAGAAACATATTCTCCAAGACCGCGTGTAGCAATGAGTACGGAGTACGAACATCACGCAGGCCACACGGTCTTTTTCTATTTGTACAACTGATGCAGTGCTTGGCCAGGGTTGTGATGGGCATGTGTGGATGGGTTCTGTATTACCGATGGACCGCCTTGGCCGCGATCAGGCCATGAAAAGCAAGGTGCTGCGGGAGACGTGGCCGGACCCAGAAGAGCCAGATGAGTGAGCGAGAGCATGAGCTGATGGCATGAGCATGAGCTGGATGGCTCATATCACCTGGTCTGATTGGTTTGTGACCTGGCATGGTTTGCCCTAGTTTCACTTGAGGGGGTTGTGCATGATGAATGAAGCACAGGGGTTCTAATCTATGAAGATCTAGGGAGCATGGTTCAGACCGCCTGTTGCAGTCCATGGTCTAAGTTGCTAGTCTTGCAGACGGAAACAATTGCTACTCTTCCTGAACTCGCATAGCACCCCATACAGGGGGTAGAATTACGTAGAATATTTCAACATATTTCAATGAATTGGTTTAAGGAAAAATCTGCAGGACACCCATGTTTTCATCCCCCAAACTATGGTTTTCCTGTAGATTTTCCCTTAGGCCAATTCTGGGAATATTGCTTGAAGGGAATCATACACCAGTTGGCAGTTGAGTACAGTACACTTTCAGTACCATCGTTTTGACACGTTGGTAGAGCCTTTCCATCAGGAACCCTGAAGGCCACTCCCTGTTTAATATCAAATTCAACCACTTCTCCTCCACCTATGTGTCCTCCCAACCCCAACTCAGACATCTTCATCCATACTCCGGCAGATAGAACATCCGGCATTCATGAAAATTCCAAATCAATACATCACAATCAAAACTTAATCAACACCTTAATCTACTCCGGACGTTGTACTTTTTAGGTCTCATAATATTTGCTGAATGAAAGGACACAGATACTGTAGCAGCGAGTGCCACAAGCTGCCATCACTTCGTTCACTGCTGGCGGCATCGGTTGCAGAGCATCGGCTGGCGGCCTGCGCCGGAGTGCTTCTATGGACGTCTCCATTTGAATCTCCTCCAGATGCACATTGAGTGGAGCTCCACTTGGACTGCCCGTTTCGCATCGATTTCTTGAAGCGAACCTAGAAAAAGCACAAACACACACTGTTTAGTACTCGAGGATACCCGTGTTTGCAACGACCTCTTACAATTTGGGCACTCCAAATCAAAGACCGAGTGCAGCTCCACTGGTTCGAAGGTACCGGCGCGTGTGACAGCGGAGACAGCCAGTGGTTTCCAAGAACTGAGAACCTCAACGCGTATGACATCATGTTGCTAGGCCCTCGATGCATAATTTTGGGCCACACAGCAGAGTCTAGATTTTTGGGTTCACCGTGCCATGTCTACTTGGTGAGGTATGTATGGAGCCCATCCTTCTGATGATAGATGCATGGTCAGTTCCTGAACAATAGACAGGTCGGATTCGGATGCTTTCTTAAGCTGAGCTTGGGATCTGTGTATATACATACACTATATTTATACATAATCTAAATAAATATATATATATATATGCATATGTTGCAACTTATCATTTGATGCAGAAACATGTCCACACTCGAAACAGAATGAAACAGATGACTTGCCTTGTATTCCGCTGGGATATTTGCATGCAGCTTGCAGGCGAATCTTCCGTGGTTGCTCATTTTTGTCAGATCGTTCTTAGTGCCTGATTGATGGTACACACACCAAGTCAGCTGTTTGAGAGCAAATGCGGCACAAAGAGCGGTTTTGGGGCAAAGTTGACAGGCAAAGAGGAAAGAAGTGTGGAGTCAAGAACCAGCATCCAAAATAGCCGTAATGATTATAATGTCTTCCAATGAAACATCAAGCACATCATGGAAAGAACTGGAAAGAACTGATGTCAAGCTTGTGGATGATGTACAGCTAGTTTCGAGGCGACCCCTTTGCCTAGACTTCGCCTGGTAGGAGTTACGATGGTCGCCCTCGCTGGCAGTAATTCATGCAACTCGAAAGGGCTGCAGTATGTTGAGCCTTTCTTGAGCCCCGCGAATAAAGGGCGATTCCGCATACAGAGGGCGTGGTTTCGAAGAACGACATGTTGCACAGACGAAGTTTCGCCTTGGCGAGGCTCAAGAATCTACATAGAATTGCTGCTTTCTTTTGCAGCACTGGCTGCCTCCTGTTCCTTTGGGCTGCATTCGTTGCCAGCTCACTCAATCCGATTCAATCCGAGCGGCCTCCGCAATTGATGGTGATAGGGCTCCCGGCTCACAATTCAAAGTTTTTGCAGCGCTGTGGAGCATTGCGGAGTTGCCTCACTAGATGGGTGAGCTGGCAGCAAGCAGCGCGCCTTGTACAGGGACTGCAGCTGGCCATATGGTACAGGGCAGACCATGGATGAAACAGGAAAGGGCCAACCGCCAACCATCAAGCTTGAATGTTGTTTGCAATAGTGATGTTATCATGTTTATCAACCAGATCAAACTGCAATCATTTGTCAGAGCGAGTAGCGAGGCGCGTCGAGCCGGACAGCACAAGGGGAACAAGACATATTGGATCTGTTTTCGGATGTTTTTTACAGCTCTTGGCAAAGGCTGTGCAGCGGCACAGCAGTCTCACGAGGGGTATGAAACCTCAGCCCGGTTTGCGAGCCCCAAACGAGTGACCGACCAGAACGATCGATTTCGGCAGCTTGCAAACAAGTGACCGACCAGCGGAGTCGGGGGGCTGCCATGATAGAACACCGCTCCCATGTCCGATCAGGCAAGAGAGGAGCGATTATGCCGAAGCTATGCACTAGAGACAGAGATGTGTGCATAACAAAAAGGAATGCGGGGCTTCGGGACGGCCTCGGTGCGGCTTTCTCTTTCACTTCAGAAAGTATTCAGAGTGAACATGCTGGAACTGGGATTTGTGAAAAAAAGAAGACACATGTTGTTGTTTTGAGATTTTGTTGGGAAGTTTTCAAGGCTTCCTTCTTTTTTTTCTGCTTTCCATTGGTTTTGTTATGGCATAGTGTCTTCGAAGCTGTGTGGCAATTGAAGTCTGTGGAAGATCACAGGGACTTGTTAAATCGTACTACTTCATGCGGTTTAAGATTGGCAGCACAGCCACTAGACGGATGTAATTTGTTCGTTTGCGGCATGACCTTCGTGCATAGTTACAGTAATTACAGTAAGTTAGTTTTCAGCCACAATGTTTCACGAGAATCAAATCGCGCATTCCAATCAAGCGCGCTGGTTCAAGCTGCATCAAGTTCCCAAGTTGCACACCCTTCTATAGATCCCAGCCATGTCTCTCAAGCTTTTGCTTGCTGTGCTTTTGCAGCCCAGCTTGGCAAAAGTCTATCAGGGCACTATGAGCATGTGGAGTGAAACGAAAGACACCTTAGTAGCTTACAAGAGCGAGGGCAGTGCCTGCAAATTTGCAGATCGATTGATGGGAGGCCTGAATTCTGCTACAGCGCAAACACCCTACATCACTAGCAAGAACTACTGTGCAGTGAATCGTGGCCTCTTTGGGAATGGTGAGATTTGCGGTCGATGCTATCGTCTCACTTATAAAGGTGGTCACGAGCAAGGTCTCGGGCGTCCTGGTAGCGATGTGGTGCAGATCGTGGATTCAGGCAGTTGGGCAACATTTGACTGTCACATGACGGCCTTCAACAAGATTACCGACTACAACACAGGCTTCTTCCCTGTGAGCTATGAGGAAGTCCCCTGCAACACAGCCTCCCAGGGCCCCGTGGTTGGAGTTCTGCAATATGACTACTACTGGACGAAGTTTGTCTTCAGCAACCTCCGCTATCCGGTGAAGTCAGCAGATCTCATCATCGGCGGCAAGACACATCACATGAAGCTCGTTGGTGGCTATTGGGGTGCGTGGACAGGTCCAATCACTGGGGAGACCTCCTTTAAGATAACCGAAGAGAATGGTTACCAAGTGACCTTCAACAATTGCTTCGGCGGCTGGAAGAACCGAAAGACGGGTGATGCATGCTACACAAATGGACGTTCCAAAGCGGCCCTCCCGCCTCCAGAGCCAGAGGTCGGCTCCTCGTTGCGAGGTGCAAAACACAATACCTCGAATGCGACAGAGATGGAAGCGCCGGAAACTCCTTTGTATCCTTAGACGATGGCATGACCCTTGGGACAGCAATGGCATGGAGCCACTAATCCTATTTTTTGGCCTGAATGGCCTGGCTGTGCTTAAAGAAGCAGAGCGAAACGTGGTCATGATAGGCGGTTAATGGTGAATTCAGTTGTGTACAAGTCCGCAACCTTTTGATCTTGCATGGGAGGCATGTCAGACATGCTCGCAAGTACATTGCTTTAGACTTGCAAAAGCATTGGAAAGGACAAACAAACATCGCACATCATCACGCCATTTTCGGAAAAAGCCCATGTAGATGCGACCATGATGTGACCCATCGGAGGTTGGGGGCTGATCATGCCTGTCAAAGCGCCGCGCTCTGCGTTGCTCTCGGCTCGAGAAGGCAGACGGCCTAAGGCCTGTGTAGCCATGGTTTCGAGGGAGACCTCAGGCGGGCCCGATGACTTCCATGTAGTTTCTAATAGCTTCTTGTTACTACCAGTAAGGCACTTGTTACTAGAAGCGATGCACTTGTTCCTACTAGCTTCTTGTTACTACTAGTAAGACACTTGTTACTAGAAGCGATGCACTTGTTCCTAGTGGCTTCTTGTTACTACTAGTAAGGCACTTGTTACTAGAAGCGATGCACTTGTTCCTAGTAGCTTCTTGTTACTACTAGTAAGGCCCTTGCTCCTAGTAGCGATGCACTTGTTCCTAGTAGCTTATTGTTATAGTGAAAAGCGGGCGTGAATTGTTGAATTGGGTTAAACCATGTTGAAAGCTGGGAAAGCAATGAAAAGCGATAGGCCCCCCCCGCAACAGCGGTCGCCATGTGGCTGCAGCTTTTTGGATATGTTCAGCATTGTTCAGAAAACTATCTTGAACGTGTGGCTCGTGCCTGAATAGCAATAGGCCCCGTTAAAAGGGGTATATAAGCTTGTTGAACCATGTCCTCTTCGTTAATATGACTTTTCGGTAGACGTTCATGTAGCAAGACCAGGCACAGTAATTAGGGATAGCTCAGGCTGGCTTCAATGATGTTTGACCATCCTCCGTGCTTGGTCCTCTATAAATAAATGATAATCGTTTGACACAAAAAAGAACGCGCATTTTAATGCTTTTTATAAGCTGGTTTTGGTGGCTTTTGGTGACCTCTCTCGGCATGCCTTGTGAACCCTTGCCAAGCATTTTTAAGAGGAGTGGGGTGCCGTGACATGCATTTTTTCATATGGCACTAGAGATCTGTTAACCTTTTCAAATTTCCTTTAAAATCCTTAACCTTCCCAACTGTCCCTAAAATCCTTAACCTTCCCACATTTCCCTTAAAACAACCCTAAGTTGCCCGAAAAGAAGGGAAACGCAAGAACGTAACTAAAGTTGAAGCCAGAACTCCAAGCCAGATGCAGGAACTAAAGCCATACTCGTTGGCCTCTTTAAACAAAGAACCTGAGATCCTATGTTCTTTTCTTTTGAGAACACTCCTTTCGGTTTCATTTTTTCCTTCAAGAACCTGAGATGATCCGTTTCGCTCGGTCGACGTTTTGCCAGACGGGGATCTTTCACCACATTTTTTCTTCGGCCTCGTCTTCGGAAGCAGAGACGGGTGCAAAAGGGATCTCCGAATTGCCCAGTGGAGTTCTATAGGTTCTATGGTTTCTGGTTTGTCGTTTTGGGTGAACATAGTGATGGCCTTGGTAGAATGACATGGCCAGGCGGTACAGCACATATGTTTTTGTTTGATGAATGTATATGTTTTTGTTTCTGATTTGGAAAGTAAAAGCATGTTATCCCAGTATTTTGTGTCGTTCTTTTTGTTCTTTTCAGTTTTTCATGTTATGTTGCTATTGTATCACTTTATAGAGGCTTCACTTGTCCATCCCTCAGGTGATGTCTTACTACTGCTGCATTTTGCTTGGTATGCTAGAGAAACACCCTTGCCAGTCATTCTACTCTATAGAAATGTTATCTCTTGCCACCCATTCCAAAAGACACCACATCTCTATAAAATTCATGGCAAGTGATCCCAGTGGTATATAAAGCACGGAGGATGTTCTGCCATTTTCACTCCATGTTCTTTCTATGGAAAGAGCGATAACGAATCGAGAGAATTTGGAGTGTCACCATGCCTTCAAGTGTCCAGCCGAAGCTGTTTGAACCTGCCCAAGGATACCAACGCCCCAGCCGGGGCACGTCAAGCACATCTGTGCGAAAGCAGAGAAGAGACTGGGTCCTCAGTTGCTTTTCATTTCTCTTGAATCGTTGCAAGTTGGCAGACCCTGTTTGAGGCCGAACTGTTCAAGCGCAACGATCAACTTCGCACAAAAAAACACACTCTTGGCACGTAGAGAGGGGGAGATGACCTTGAGGCAGAGCCGGAGAGCTTCTGCAGCATCGATGCAGGACGGTTGCAGAGAAGAGTTTAAAGGCAACGCCATGCCACAAACCACTGCAGAATCGTACTGCATGTCGCAGAACCAGTGGATGGCTATTTGTTGAGCGAATTGGAGCGCGCTCCTAGTTTTTGTTATTGCATCTTAGATATTGCACCTTGAAATACAATGATGCATAGAAGCACTTCATGTTTGCTTCACTTAGTGTGGTTGACAAACCTCGCTCCCCACCACTCAGACAAAGGAGCAGCAAAGCCACCCAACAACAAGGCATTGCGCAATCTGGTCGTCAACCTACCCGTAGTATTCGTAGCAGAAAAGGCCGAATGAACTCACCAGACTCACCACCTGACACTGCCTCAAACTGTTTGTTTCCTGTGAAACCACCTGCAAGCAAGCAGCCGTTACCAGTCCTTACCAGTGATGCATTCAGGTCTCCAAGTCATAGCTGTTGTACGCAAGACTGTTTGTTTGACTTGCCTGGTAACCAGGACAGGCTGACAAGTTGCCCAGACCGTGCATGGGCATAGATGCAGAGGCACAATCCTGTTGTTCATGCCTTTGTTCGTGCTCAGACTAGAGAATGTGAGCCTCTGGTTGGTCAAAGTGTGTTTCGGTGGCCCATCGGTTCTGTTTTCGAGGCACAGGTCAAAGGTCTGGCACTGTGTGAGCCTTTCTGCCCTCAAGCATCATCGTACTTGACTGAACAGTCTGGGCGCTTGCGGTGTCAGGCGGTGTACGGCGCCATTGAAGAGGAAGGGCCTGTGGATTTCTCGCCCACAAGTCCTAGCGGGCCCCTCAGAGCCGCTTCCGTCAGCGATGTTTGATGTTTCTCAGTTTTGGAGGGATGGTGTTGCAATGGCCTCCAACTTTTATAATAGCAACGGCCTCCAACCTAATAGCGATGGCCTCCCTAAAAGGTATCCACACACTGACACTGACGTATCAAACTTTTTGTCGGATGACCTCGATTCCCATCCCCCGTAGTTAAAGTTTGGACCATGGCTCAGCCAATGGTTTTGAGTGGACAAGAATCCCCTGACTTCAAACAGTTTTGCAAGTAACTGCTTGAGAGTTGTTCCACTTGATGTCCACCTTCTTGCTGTTCTACTTGTTCTTTCCGAGCACGACACATGGAGGCTGAATATTCGCACTCCTCGCACTTTATATATATATTTGTGGTGCCTCTCTACAAAGCGGGGAAACCGACCCTTTTTGCACCCGTCAGGAGGAAATAGCCGAAAAACATCATCCGTGTAAGATCAGTGTCATTCTATAATTTTGTAGGGCTCTTTGCTAGTAGCAAGGGCATCGCTCCTGTTTTCGTCGGGTCTTTCAGTTCACTAGTAGCTTCTTGTTAATGCACTTGTTCCCAGTAGCGATGGCCTCCAACCTAGTAGCGTCCTTGTTACCAGTAATGCCCTTATTACTATAGTAGGGCATTACTAGTAGTAGCTTCTTCTAGCTAGCAACAATGGTCGTTTTGTTTCAGTTCTTCGCCGGGTCTTTCTCAGGCAAGACCCCCACGAGTCCCACGAGCCCGGAGCGCAGTGTGGCACGGGAGCAAAATGCCGCGCGGCAGTGCCTTGGACACGAGGAATGGGGAAGCTTTGCTCACAGACAGATCTGAGCCAAGAGGATCTATGAAACAAAAGCAATCCAGTGTATTGGTGATGGCTGACTTTTTGGCTCACAAGTGACAAATGTCGAATCTGCTGGAATTGTAAGGAGCAAACTCATTTTCATGCCATTTTCATGCCGCAGGCCGTACTGCCCAATGTGTTGGGTTCTGTTGGGAGGAATCATATAATGGTGCCTTAGCAAATTGTATCGTTATTGGTCGCAAGTCTCAAGACCTGTTTGTCCCAACTGTTGTCAAGTGCTCCTGGCTGAGGTTTCTTTGGACCAGCCTAGATGCAGTTATGTTGCGGCCAGCAGAAACGGCCAGCAACTTGCCGGTTCCTTTGGCAGCTGCACGGAGACCCAGATTCCCACGGGTCTCAGCCGGTCTCGGTTGGAGTTCATTGGGCTTGACGACACGCGTGGCCAGGTCCTCACGCCCTTTGCGGACACGGCAGATTTTACTTCCTTGTGCTGGCCCCAGCAGCTCATCAGTTCTGGTAGAAGGATGTCAAAGCAACTGGAACAGCTTTTATGTATTATATAAGTGATTATAAGATATTATAAGTGTGTTCTTTTAAAGAACTGATGCAGGCTCTGTGCTGTCAAAGGATGGGAAAACAACAGCTTGCCATACCGTCCTGTGAATTAGCAAAATAGCAAGATAGGTCAAGCTGCTTGGTACACCTGAGAGATTCGGGGATATTCTTGTGGGCCGAAGACACTTGCTAAGATGGAAAGTCATGGAAAGTCGCTCTGGACTCTGAACACAAGTATATATATATATGTCTATATATAATTTTTTTTTCTCTCAGATCAAGCCACTCGAGTCGCCTTGATACTTTCCCAGATTCTGCTCGTTGTGCGTGGTGCTTTCTGATTAGACCTTTCCTTCGCGGCAAGTCTTCCCAAGCAACTCGAGGCCTCTCTCTGACATCGGTTCTGACGAGCCTTTGAGATGCCCGCGATGTAGGCCTCACAACACTGAGATGGTCTAGTTTCTTCACAAAACGATTCACTCATATTTGGAAAGCTGGAGCCGGAGCTATCAGACATTGCTTTTGCACTTGTATTTCACAATCTCTCCAGATCGCAGGTGCTATGCAAATCCACATTTCAAGTGGAGTGCCAGGGAAAATCGAAAGCTACTTGGCTTGATTTGAGGGCCGCAGGCCCTGGTGGGACCTTAATTGACGTCCGATAAAAAGGACGACATCCTTGTGTGGACCACTGAATCCTCGGGTGCAAAACCAGCAAAAAATATGCATCATGTCATATCTCATTGAATTCCTGTTGGCCTTTCGCATTTTGAAGTTCCCGATTTCTGTGATCAGCCAGATGATGGAGGGCCAGCAACAGCAACACACACGGTACACCTTGCAAAGCACATGCAATCTCCAAGAAGCTTTTTGAAGCCAGTGGGCAGAGGGAAGCTGGCGGAAGCAATAAGGCTCTCCCAACATCTCCCAACTCCCAACTGCTCCTAATTGTAACTTTGAGGTTCACCTGCAACATGTGCAGTTGGAAACTCAGTGTAGCCTCGGAGCGCTTCTGAAAGTTGTTCATTGTTTTTCATCGTCGGTACCGACTTTTACCGACCTCAAGTGAGGAGAGATAAATGTGTGCTCAACAGTGATAGAGCAGACAGGAATTGCAACACAGGCCTGATCGTACGCCTTGGATGACCTTGGAGGAATACCAAGAAAGGGATTGCTAAGTCGCTCTACATTCCTTGTACACGAAAAATGCCTTGTTGTTTCTGTGCATATTTTACACTCATTGGGAGCCTTTGCTTGTGACTGTTTGTGCACGTCACTTGAGGCCATAGCCTGGATGTTCCTCAGAAGTTCTTAGAGGATATGGAGCGCAATGGCCAGTGCGCGGACTGCCTGGGCATCGCCGTCAGATTTCGCCGTCAGATTTTTACAAATCTTGAGTTTTGCTCATTCTGAACCGGTTCCCTTTATTCTCCAATGTGAAAGGACCCAAAAACCAAATGCCAACAGCAGCATCAAATATGGAGATTTGTACAAAGGGGATTCCAGCTTGTTGCTTGCTGAGTGCGCAGCTAAAGCTTATATATATATGTATGTATATATATATATATTATAAGTAAGTGAGATTCAAGCCTAGTCCTTTTCATGAGTCCATGTGATGCAATCACAGATAATGGATTTGAACTTGTGAGTCACATGCTCACCTCTTATCCCTGGTGGTTGTGCAGTCAGGTCACCAGTCACTGCAAAACCACTCATGTGGGGATTTCTCAGTGTGCTGGAAAGGATGAAATGCGTATTCACCGCTGCATGTTGATGCGGCACGGGGTAAATTGTGGTGCACTGATGGGTCGTGCGTAATTATTTGCCGTCAAAGTCACATTGCAGGATGCAGACACGCATCCGGAGCTGGTCTATGGATCAGTGGACTTCACAGCCGGGGCATTGATTGAGCCAGACCTGCCCGGGCAGCTGGTCCGAGCTAAGTGGTCGAGGAAGGAGCTGATTTGGATCTCCCCATTCAAATCCCTGTCCGCCAGCCTGCCTTTGGTAAGAGAGAGACGTCATAGTAATTAGACAAGCAGAACCATCATCCTCAATACATCAGGGCTATAATCTCCACATTACGGGGCTCAAACAGACACAACAAGCACAGGGCATTATATAGAGGCATAGCACGGTATACCAACGATTGCTTTTTTCGGATACACTCTTTGGTTTTAACAGCCATGGGGCTTGCTGGATTTTGATGTGCGATTGCTACGGGAGGAAAAACAGTGGGATCACATTTCTATGCTTTTAACTGATCCCAAATGAGTTGGAGAGCATTATTTTGGGATGTAAGGGCCAGCTATGGCTGCATGATGCTCGACCCAGTTGACCCAATCGACCCAACCACGCCTCCAACCTAACACCGGCAAACACTGTCGTTTCCTTTTGCATGTTTTGCTGACCCGGAAGTCGTGCCTTCCACACAGCCGTCGTCCCTCAGGCCCTTCGTTCCCTCGGTGTGCTTTGCCATCGAGACCTCACCGGATGCGATCTCCAGTGGCTTTACCAAGGCAGCCTTGGAAGCCTTGGAGAAGGCCTTGCAGGACAGCCGGGAGAGTTGAAATGTTAAAAGCTGCGACGTCACTTTGTCTTCCACATCAGAACTGGAGTGTATTGGCTATTATTGGCCGAGTCAGCTTAGATTATGTGGAGTGTGTTCATCTCAAAACGAGGCACCGCACACTTTGGAAAGGGATGTGTACCTTGTCACATTTGACGAAGCCGCCACTTGGATCAATGCATGTCAATTCCTGGAAATTGACTGGAAAAGGGATGCAAAGGAAGAAGCTTGCCCAACAAGCCGAGTTGGGCTGTGTAAACTGTTTTAAGTGTTGTTTAAATTCTAGATTCTGGATAATCTCATTCTCATTCTCATGATCCATCAATGCCATTGTCGCTTCTCAAGGTGACCTTCTACGTGCCGATCAGTCATGGACGCTTCCGAGCAGTTGTCATGCCCGATATGGAAGAACCGTTTGTTCCGGTTAGTCCGGAATCACTCGGAGTTACTTTGGCGCGATTCTTTCTTGAAATCAACACAGTCCAAAGTTCGTCACACAAAATGCTGTTTCAACAGTGACGCAGTGGAACACAGGACTTTTTTTTTCAGCCGCTGCAGGGGTACTTCCAATGTAATTAGAGGGTGCTTTGTTTTCGAAGTGTCTACATTGAAAGAAGGGCTGCTGGTTCAGATTGGCTGATCAGTTACTAACCACTGACAAGAAGCAACTGAGGTTCATGTGGCAGACCCAGACGGGAAGGAGATGTTCTTGGAGCTTCTTAGATGAAAAATAGGTCAAACATGAAAGCCGGACACGCATGAAAACATGAAGGCTTTAGTTTGCAACCTGGGTTTGACCTTTGAAGACTAATTAGGCTTTTTCCTTGCTCGATATGCCAGCATGGATCAGCATGGGCTACAAGCAATTCTGAACTTTGTTTTGAACCAATAAGGAAAGGTACGTGTCTATTAGGTTTGCTTGACTTCCATCTCTCGGGTTCTGTCATATAGATTCTTTGCCATTAATGATATATCATATTACCTATAATGTGTTTGTTCATTTGTCTTCACTCATTTGCCAGCGATGTCGTTCTCTCGGCGCTAAATGGAAAAGACTCACTCATTTGCTCAAAATGTGATCTTGGCAGTATGCAACTTGCTGTTGTCTCCAACGTCTTGCAGCTGTGTGACGCTTTTTCACAACGAAGCAGAGCGAGGCTTCTCTCCACACTGCAAGAGGAATTCACCGACGAGGCATCTCCTCAGTGCGGCTACGGTGGAGAGGACTGCATCGCGTTGAATCTATTTTCCGGCTTCTGGGATGCTGTGTTTGAGGAGAGCCCAGATCCATTTCACCTGGGCGAATGCCAAGATCTCACCAGCTCCACTGTCTTGCGCACTGGTGTGCAGACCTTGGCTGCCTTGGGTGGTGGAGATTTGGTCCTTTTCCAGGCACAGACCTCCGCACCAAGCGATTTTCTCATGGGTGTCTTTGGAGTTGCTAACTCTCAAAAAGAAAAGAATATGCTTTTGAGTTACCAATAGCAATGGCCTCCACCTAATAGCGATGGCCTTCGACTGATTTCCTGACAGGTGTCAGTGCCATCAACCTGGGGACCAGAGGAGGCGCCGGAAGACGACGACGTGCTGTCTCCGAAGGGTCCATCTTCCTCGCCGAAGACACCCAAGACGCCCAAGACACCCATCAACATCACACCACTGAAGAGCCTTGGTTGCCATTGGCGGTTATTCTATTCTTCGTTGTCTCTGCTGTTTGCTGTAGAACTCCAGATTGGTTGGCAACTTTTGAGGATTCTGTCTCAGTCTTTCTTAAGTCATTGTTCAGATATCACTTGCATCAATTTTGTATTTGAGCTTACAGCATGGACTTGTCTCACGAATCTCTCAAAGGCATTGCATTGGTGGCAACACATTTGGTGCTCATGTTAAAGCTGGGTTTGATCCTGTTGGATCGCACCCATTGATCCTGGCCCTCCAGCGGTTTCACTGGCCTCAGCACAGGAAGCGAAAGAGAAGCTTCCTCGAAGAGATGCATCGAAGTTGCTGTCGCACAGGCCGACAGCGACCGTCCAGATCGTGGTACTTTCAATTACGATTGCACAACAATGGCTAGATTGTCATTAGCAAGCAGCCCTGCTCGCAATCCAGCATGAACTGTTCCAGCAGAGCCATGTTTGCAGGCGTGGCAGTGTCGGCGGTCACTGCAACAAGTGATGGAGATGTCTCAAGGTTGCATTGGCTTCCATGGCGAACTGGCGGTGATGCTCCTTGGGCTGATTTCACTGTTGATGTTTATTAATCCTGCTTCCAAGGGCAGCAGAGCACGTAGCACGTTGTATTTGTGCACATGAGGGCATATATATATATATATGCTACCCCCCCAAAAAAAAAACACCAACGTTTCAGACAAATTTATTGCTGAGAGTTGTCTTTTCTGTAGGTGGTCCATCCCGTCCACCCTCGATCCCCCCCAAATAAAGAAGTTATTCATTTATTGTTGGCCGCCAGGAAGTACAAATTAATTTCAATTAACTCTTGACCACCAATTTTAATTTATATTGATTGGTGGGGCTATCGGCTAGCATATATTATCATTTTGGATTACTTTTATATTATAGAAAGTTTATCATGTAAAGTATAAAAACCATTAAATATGTTGACCATTAATTTCCTCCACAAGCATTATTCATTACCAAACAAAAAGGCTGCCGTCAATAAATTAATGGTCAACCAAAAATAAAATACTAGCCTAGCAATTGACCGGGCATTAATATTTTAATAAAATAATGCCCTCATGATTATAGATTAAACACATAGATTAAACGATACCATGAATTTTAAAGAATGAAAAGATATAAAATTCATGGGCATCATCCAAGAACCACCAAATAAACATAAATAAATGGTGGGCATTCTATCTTTATAGTTCTAGAAAATACCATGAAAATCCATGAAAGATAGAATGCTTCTTGGATGATTTGTTCCTTGGCAGTTAATGGTCAATAGTTCTTTGTAATAGACGGTTAGCTGTAAATCCATTAACTGCCATATCTTTAATTATTCGTTCATTCCCTTTATTTTATTATCCATTAAACTATTTTATTCTCCATGAAAATAAAGGATCATTCACTTTCTTTCAGTCTTTCTTATAATTCAATGAGCCCATTTTTCGTTCATATTAAATGGGCGGTCATTTTATTATTAGTGGAATTACTTAATGGATTATTAGAATATAGAAAATGTAGATTAACAATATGATAAAGAACAACACCACAAAGAATAAATGGAAATAGACAATGAAAGACAACGAACCTCTTCAATGTAAGATTGTAAACATAATCTCCTCCACAAAGCCATTCTATAAAATATGGAAATGGAGATAATACATTTGTAATTACTGTAACACCCCATAAACTCATGTGTACTAAAGGTAAGACATAACCCATAAATGCTGTTGCCATTATAAGAAGATTTAATAATTCAAGAAAACCAAGTATTGGCATTATGGGGCCTTTGGGGGGGTGCATAAATTTTGGTTTTTTTTGAGCCTGCCAAGGAATTTGCTATTTTTTATATACCCCACCTTGCAAAAACACTGGCAGGCTCAAAAAAGTCAAAAATTTCAAAAGGCCATAGTCACAAAACCCTGGCAGGCTCAAAAAAATCAAAAGTTTTAGGATCTATGGGGGGTCTGGGGGGTGTATACATTTTTGATTTTTTTGAGCCTGCCAAGGAATTTGCTATTTTTATATATACACCACCTTGCAAAAACACTGGCAGGCTCAAAAAAAAACAAAAATTGATACATCCCCCAGACCCCCGATAGATCCTAAAACTTTTGATTTTTTGCATTTTTTGAGCCTGCCAGGGTTTTGTGACTAGGGCCTTTTGATTTTTGTTTATTTTTTGAGCCTGCCAAGGAATTTGCTATTTTTTATATACCCCACCTTGCAAAAACGCTGGCAGGCTCAAAAAATCAAACATTTCAAAAGGCCCTAGTCACAAAACACTGGCAGGCTCAAAAAAATCAGAAGTTTCAGGATCTATCGGGGGTCTGGGGGGTGTATAGATGTTGAGTTTTTTGAGCCTGCCAAGGAATTTGCTATTTTTTTATATATCCCACCTTGCAAAAACACTGGCAGGCTCAAAAAAATCAAACATTTATACACCCCCAGACCCCCCATAGATCCTAAAACTGTTGATTTTGTTGATTTTTTTGAGCCTGCCAGGGTTTGTGACTAGGGCCTTTTGAACTTTTTGATTTTTTTGAGCCTGCCAGTGTTTTTTCAATTTTTGGTCCACCCCACCTTGCAAAAACGCTGGCAGGCTCAAACAAATCACACATTTATACACCCCCAGAGCCCCCATAGATACTATTTTTTTTCTATTTTTTGGATTTTTTTGAGCCTGCCAGGGTTTTGTGACCATGGCCTTTTGAAATTTTTGATTTTTTGAGCCTGCCAGTGTTTTTGCAATTTTTGGTCTACCCCACCTTGCAAAAAATGCTGGCAGGCTCAAAAAGAGCCAAAATTTATACCACCAGTATATATATATATAGTTCATATTAAATATATAGTTGATCAGATGTAGGAGGATGTTCATTTAGCATTTTGATCAGACGCCATATGCACATTGCAGATTCAGATTTGTTGGTACCCCCCACCTCCCCTATTTGTCTGAACGTGTTGTTTTTTTTGGGGGGTACCATATATATATATATCATTCCAGCTTTCTTTCTTGGCATGTATAGTACAGTTGTAATTTGTTGTATTTACATGTTGACTTGCTTGCTAACATGCCAATCTTTGCAGGAAGTTCATTGCCAAAATCAGCCAACGCTAACCCACGAACAACTATACATTGCAAGTCTTAACTTTGTCGATGCTCAACATGTCCAGTCGGAAGCATTGGTTGAGCGCTGCGAGCCAGGTGCTACACATGCCGAGCTTCACTCCGACGGCCACTCAGAGCATGTCCAGTCACTTGCAGCATTGGCTGCAAAAGATGCAAGCCAGTGACTCGTCTTATATGGAAATTGCACGCAACGTGAACAAGCTGCACATGGAGAAATGGAAATGAAGTAGGGAGACATTCAGTTATATATATATATATATATTATATGTCATGATGAAACATGAACAATGTTGAAGGACAGTTTCCAAGGTTTGGCAACCCTCAAGGTTCTCGCTTCCTACGATTGCAACACCAAGGTGCATACAACTGCGTTGTGAAACTCCGATGCAGCAAAGGCCTGTGTGGGACATGTACTGTTGGATCCATTCATTTGCCTTTTCAAGGTTGGTTTGATGGCAACGTGTGCAAGACAAAATCAAAGCAATCTGAATTGGCAAGTGGATGCAAATCACCAGCCAGGTCTGAGCTTGAGGGTTCACTCTGTCCTACCGGTAGCGCTGCTAGGTCTCAGTTGCAAGGCTTTGTTGGCACCATGGCCAGCAGCTGCCTCCTCTGAAGACCAAAGCGCTTTCGAGGTGCCGACTCCTCGCCTTCCCTCGCTAGAGGCATTAAACATAGAACCCGAAAATTGTGTGGATATTTTTTCTACTTCTATGTTTGTGAAAAAGTGTGACGGTAATAAACTTGGAAGTCAACCTATGCTGAAGCATGACCAGATTAGGATGACCATGACGCGCTTCCATGTTTAATAGCATGGCTTAAAGACGAGAGGCATTCAAGCAGAAGAGTATGTATATAATATAACATAATTGAATGTTTGAATGTATGTAATATAAACATGTTTAGCTAATGTATACAAACAACACCTCTGTATGTTACCCCCCAAAGAAAACCACTTTCATACAGGAATTCAGGATGGCGGCGTCAGATGATGTGGGCTCAATGTTGCTGGCCCAAAACAGGTGAGGGCTTGGATTGGATTGAAAAGCTCCAATCAGAGCACTCCCACATGTGAAGCAACAGCTGAAGCAAGAGGTGGGAGAGAAAAAAGGAAAGACTAGCAGTTTGCTCTAGGGACTTCCCAGTATTTTCACCAGTAAAACCCTGTCTAATAAACATGGAAGATACCCACTGGTGAAGCCAGGACCACGAAAAAACTGAACAAGATGGAGCCCACGAACCCGAATGCAAACACGTTCGAAAAGCTACATATGTCCAAATGACACTCTTGTAGGACACTCTTGTGGGACACTCTTGTAGGAAACTCTTGTGGGACACTCTTACGGGACACTCTTGTGGGACACTCTTGTGGGACACTCTAGTAGGAAACTCTTGTGGGACACTCTTGTAGGAAGCTCTTGTGGGACGCTCTTGTAGGACACTCTTGTGGGACACTGTTGCGGGACACTCTTGTGGGACACTCTTAAGGGACACTCTTGTGAGACACTCTTGCGGGACACTGTTGCGGGACACTCTTGTGGGACACTCTTGTAGGACACTCTTGTGGGATACTCCTGTAGGACACTCTTGTGGGACACTCTTGTAGGAAGCTCTTGTGGGACGCTCTTGTAGGACACTCTTGTGGGAAGCTCTTGTGGGACACTCTTGTAGGACACTCTTGTGGGACACTGTTGCGGGACACTCTTCTGAGACACTCTTGTAGGACACTCTTGTGGGACACTCTTGTGAGACACTCTTGTGGGACACTCTTGTGGGACACTCTTGTGGGACACTCTTGCAGGACAC